CTCCAACTACACACACGCACACACACACACACACAGGCTCCAACTACACACACACACACACACGCACACACACACAGGCTCCAACTACACACACACACACAGGCTCCAACTACACACACACACACACACACACACACAGGCTCCAGCTACACACACACACACACACACAGGCTCCAACTACACACACACACATACACACACACACACACAGGCTCCAGCTACACACACACACACACACAGGCTCCAGGTACACACACGCACACACACACACACAGGCTCCAACTACACACACACACATACACACACACACACACAGGCTCCAACTACACACGCACACACACACAGGCTCCAACTACACACACACACACACACACAGGCTCCAGCTACACACACACACACAGGCTCCAGCTACACACACACACACACACAGGGCTCCCAGCTACACACACACACACACACACAGGCTCCAACTACACACACGCACACACACACACACAGGCACCAGCTACATACGCGCACACACACACACACACACACACAGGCTCCAGGTACACACACACACACAGGCTCCAAGTACACACACACACACACACAGGCTCCAGCTACACACACACACACACACACACACAGCTCCCAGCTACACACACACACACACACACACACACAGGGCTCCCAGCTACACACACACACACACACACACACAGCGCTCCCACACACATACACACACACACACACACACACACAGGCTCCAGCTACACACACGCACACACACACACATACACAGGCTCCAGCTACACACACACACACACACACACAGGCTCCAGCTACACACACACACACACACACACACACACACAGGCTCCAACTACACACACACACACACACACACACACACCACACACACACACACGCTCCAGCTACACACACACACACACACACACAGGCTCCAAGTACACACACATACACACCACACACACACACACACAGGGCTCCCAGCTACACACACACACACACACACACACACTCACCAGCTACACACACACACACCAGGTACACACACACACACACAGGCTCCAAGTACACACACACACACACACACACACAGGCTCCAACTACACACACACACATACACACACACACACACAGGCTCCAACTACACACACACACACACACACAGGCTCCAGCTACACACACACACACACACACACACAGGGCTCCCAGCTACACACACACACACAGGGCTCCCAGCTACACACACACACACACACACCACAGGCTCCAACTACACACACACACACACACACAGGCTCCAGCTACACACACACACGCACACACACACAGCGCTCCCAGCTCACACACACACACACACACACACACAGGGCTCCCAGCTACACACACACACACACACACACACAGGCTCCAAGTACACACACATACACACACACACACACACACAGGCTCCAGCTACACACACGCACACACACACACACACACAGGCTCCAGCTACACACACACACACAGGCTCCAACTACACACACACACACACAGGCTCCAGCTACACACACACACACACACACACACCAGTTACACACGCTCCAGCTACACACACACACACACACACACACACACACAGGCTCCCAGCTACACACACACACACACACACACACACAGGCACCAGCTACATACGCGCACACACACACACACAGGCTCCAGGTACACACACACACACAGGCTCCAAGTACACACACACACACACACACACACAGGCACCAGCTACATACGCGCACACACACAGGCTCCAGGTACACACACGCACACACACACACACAGGCTCCAACTACACACACACACATACACACACACACACACAGGCTCCAACTACACACACACACACACACAGGCTCCAGCTACACACACACACACACACACAGGCTCCAGCTACACACACACACACAGGCTCCAGCTACACACACACACGCACACACACAGGCTCCAACTACACACACACACACACACACAGGCTCCAGCTACACACACACACGCACACACACAGGCTCCAACTACACACACACACACACACACACACACACACACAGGGCTCCCAGCTACACACACACACACACAGGGCTCCCAGCTACACACACACACACACACACACAGGGCTCCCAGCTACACACACACACACACACACAGGCTCACACACACACACACACGCACAGGCACCAGCTACATACGCGCACACACACACACACACAGGCTCCAGGTACACACACACACACACAGGCTCCAAGTACACACACACACACACACAGGCTCCAGCTACACACACGCACACACACACACACAGGGCTCCCAGCTACACACACACACACACACACACACACAGGGCTCCCAGCTACACACACACACACACACACAGGCTCCAACTACACACACACCACACACACACACACACAGGCTCCAACTACACACACACACACACACACACACACACACCACACCACAACACACACACACACACACACAACACCCACACACCACACACACACACACACACAGGCTCCAACTACACACACACGCACACACACACAGGCTCCAGGTACACACACGCACACACACACACACACACAGGCTCCAACTACACACACACACACACACAGGCTCCAACTACACACACACACACACACAGGCTCCAACTACACACACACGCACACACACACAGGCTCCAGCTACACACACGCACACACACACACACAGGCTCCAGCTACACACACACACACAGGCTCCTGCACACACACGCACACACACACACACAGGCTCCAACTACACACACACACACACACACACAGGCTCCAGCTACACACACACACACACACACACACACAGGCTCCAACTACACACACACACACACACACACAGGCTCCAGGTACACACACACACACACACACACACACAGGCTCCAACTACACACACACACAGGCTCCAACTACACACACGCACACACACACAGGCTCCAGCTACACACACACACACACACACACCACACACACAGGCTCCAGCCTACACACACACACACAGGCTCCAGCTACACACACACACATACACACACACACACACACAGGCTCCAACTACACACACACACACACAGGCTCCAGGTACACACACACACACAGGCTCCAAGTACACACACATACACACACACACAGGCTCCAGCTACACACACGCACACACACACACACAGGCTCCAGCTACACACACACACACAGGCTCCTGCTACACACACGCACACACACACACACAGGCTCCAACTACACACACACACACAGGCTCCAGCTACACACACACACACACACAGGCTCCAACTACACACACACACACACACACAGGCTCCAGCTCCACACGCGCACACACACACACACACACACAGGCTCCAACTACACACACACACACAGGCTCCAGGTACACACACACACACACACACACACACACAGGCTCCAACTACACACACACACACACACACACACAGGCTCCAGCTACACACACGCACACACACACACACAGGCTCCAGCTACACACACACACACACACACACACACAGGCTCCAGCTACACACACACACACACACACACACAGGCTCCAAGTACACACACATACACACACACACACACACACACACAGGCTCCCAGCTACACACACACACACACACACACACCAGGTACACACACACACACACACACACACACACAGGCTCCAACTACACACACACACACACACACACACACACACAGGCTCCAGGTACACACACACACAACACACACACACACACAGGCTCCAACTACACACACACACACACACTGACCAGCTACACACACACACACACACACACAGGCTCCAACTACACACACACACACACACAGGCTCCAACTACACACACACACACACACACACACACACACACACATACACACACACACACAGGCTCCAACTACACACACACACACACACATACACACACACACACACATACACACACACACACACATACACACACACACACAGGCTCCAACTACACACACACACACACACAGACACACACACACAGGCTCCAACTACACACACACGCACACACACACACACAGGCTCCAGCTACACACACACACACACACACACACATACACACACAGGCTCCAACTACACACACACACACACACACACAGGCTCCAACTACACACACACACACACACATACACACACACACACAGGCTCCAACTACACACACACACACAGGCTCCAACTACACACACACACATACACATACACACACACACACACAGGCTCCAACTACACACACACACACAGGCTCCAAGTACACACACACACACACACACACACAGGGCTCCCAGCTACACACACACACACACACAGGGCTCCAAGCTACACACACACACACACACAGGCTCCAGGTACACACACACACACAGGCTCCAAGTACAATACACACACACACACACAAACACAGGCTCCAACACACACACACACACACACACACACAGGCTCCAACTACACACACACACACACACACACACACACAGGGCTCCCACATACACACACACACAACCACACACACACAGGCCTCCCAGCTACACACACACGCACACACACACACACACACACAGGCTCCAACTACACACACACACACACACACAGGCTCCAGCTACACACACGCACACACACACGCACACACACACACAGGCTCCAACTACACACACACACACACACACACATACACAGGCTCCAACTACACACACACACACACACACATACACAGGCTCCAGGTACACACACACACACAGGCTCCAAGTACACACACACACACACACACACAGGCTCCAACTACACACACACACACACAGGCTCCAACTACACACACACACACACACACACACACAGGCTCCAGGTACACACACGCACACAGTTCCCATGTAAACTAATTTACTCACTTCTCTTTCGAGGCTAAAACTGTTCCGGATGATAATGCTTCACTCCTCCTGTGGTTTGTGTTAGGAGTTTGCACTTGGAACTCTGCTTTTCCTATCCCATCACTCTCCCCACTCAGTCTTCCCTCGTCCGTCATTTTTAAACTAGTTTATCGTGCCTCTATGTGTGTTGATAGGGTGTAGGCAGCAAGGAGAGGGAGTGGAAGAAATGAAGATTGCTCTCTGTAAACTCCTGGGTCAGAGTGAAAACATATGAATTTTATTGTAAAATGTAGTGACTGTATTTCTGGCAAATGTGGCAGCCAATTTGCACACAAGCAGTGCCCCACAAACAGCCATGAAGTGAATTGACGAATATTAAGTGGAAATAGGTTTCCCATATAATGTAATAACAATATTTTCCAGGGGTAATAATCCCTTTGAAAAATTATATATGTTATAATATTTGCTCACTCAATCCACGATTGTTTGTGGACACTGCTGTGTGCAATTGGTTTCTCCCACAAAATATACAGTCAATTAACTTTACAGTATAATCTGTGAAGCGCTTTGAGACATCTCGAAGACGTGTAAAGGCACTTTATCAAATGCAGGGATTATTATTATTAATAGCACAATAGAATGCTAACTCCTCTGGGTATGGTTTGTGTTAGGAGTTTGCGTTTAGAATTCTGCTTTTCTTATCCCATCACTCTCCCGCTCAGTCTTCCTTCATCCATCATTTTTAAACTAGTTTTTCGTGCCTCTAAGCAACAATTCCAAGTTACAATCAGGGCTGAGATGTACTATTTTTCAGTAGTATAGCTCAAGAGTCCTATAGCTCAGTGGTTAAGAGCGCTCGTTTTGCAAGCAAGAGGACTTGGGTTCGATTCCCGGCCGGGCGAAATGTTGGGCAAGTTTCTTTACTCCACACACCTCTGTTTACCTCGCAGTACATAGGAACCCAGCTGTTAGTTGATTGGCAGATCGGTTTTCCGGGGCTAATAATTCCTTCAAAAAGAAAATTGGTCAAAATTGATCACTTCCATCCACGGCTGTTTGTGGGACACTGCTGTGTGCAATTGGCTGCTGCGTTTCGCCCACAAAATGTACAATTAATTCACTTTACAGTACATTCTGTGAAGTGCTTTGAGACGTCTCGAAGATGTGTTAAGGCCTTATATCAAATGCAAAGATTATTATTATAAAGTCGTGATACCATTATAACATCTAATACGTCTTAAAGAAATGATTTGTTTTAGATAATAGGGTAGCTTCATGAGTTTTTGGTCACCCTGTATTTTGTTAATAATAATAACAATCCTTGTATTTGAGACAGTGCCTTTTCATGTCATCAAGACATTGACATTTACTGTGTAGTGCTTGTGTATTTGTAGGCGAGCGTGGGAGCTTTTGCTGTAAATTAACATTAGTGGAAATGAACTGCATTCTAAAAAACTGGTTATGAATTACTATTGTAAATTATCTGCATAATAAAGAAGCTCATTATGAATTACTCAATAGTTGATATTTATTATTTACCGTGCTTCAAAAAAATAATATTTTGAAATCGGGTGAAAATTTAAAAACAAAAATATTACTGTTTGTACCTATCTGCACTGACCTTGCACCATGTCACACTAGTTGATGTCTTTTGGAATCCCTCATGATGCTCTTGCCTCTAATGTATTCTCCCTCCCACTGTTCTGCTCCTTCTTTACATTTCCCCATCATGCTTCTTGCATTAGCATTCAACCAAGCACTTTATTTTAATGCATTGATGAAGAGATTTATCAGCATAGTGGCAGGCCGAGTCAATTTTTTCCGCAGCGGATCTGAGCACTGCACCTCTGCCCAGGATAAAGGATTTCATTCTCATTACATTCCAGGTTAGGATCCGCAACTCGGCAAGATGTCTGCATTTGTTTTAGTTTGAATCTACTATCTGCCATTAACAGAACTTTATTTAAATCAGTAAATATTTTTGGATTTTTTTTGACAACAAATAATATTAATCCTTGCATTTAATACTTGCATAAGCAGAGCCGGTCTTCCAATGTGCCCCAATTCCATACAGGCCTCTTTCTGCTTTTGCAGCTCAGTTATTTTGAGAAGAGTCACCAGAAGGTTGTTTCTTGAACCAGGGATCACTTATATTTAAAGAAAAAGGAAAACAGTATTAAAGTTGTATGCATTATCATGCTTATAATCTTTGCATTTGGTACAGTGCCTTATCATGTTGTCGATGTCTCAAAGGGCTTAACAACATTTGTATTATGAAGTATTCTGAGTGTATTTTGTAGGCAAACTTGGGGGGCAATTTATACACTGCAATATCCCACAGACAGCCATGAGGTGAATGACTAATTTTATGTAAACTCCCTTTTCTTTTCAAATAGTGCCATGGGATCTTTAACTCCACCTGAACAGACAGACGGGACCTCAGGTTAATGTCTTATCTGAAGGACGGCACTTCTGACATTAAAGCGCTACCCTTGGAGTCCTGTAGCTTTGCAAGTGAGAGACCTGAGTTCAATTCCAGGCAGAGGGCGAAACCTTGGACAAGTTTCCTTACTCCACACAGAGCCTAATAATAATCCCTCCAAAACCAAAAACAATAATAAAATTGGTCATTTTCAATCTACGACTGTTTGTGGGACATTGCTGTGCGCAATTGGCTGCCGCGTTCGCCCACAAATATACAGTCAATTCACTTTACAGTGTGTTCTGTGAAGCGCTTTGGGACGTCCTCCCAATGTGAAAAGCGCTATATCAAATGCAAGGATTATTATTATTATTATTACCCAGAATCGCACTGGAGTTTTAGCCTCAAAGTCGTGACAAGGTGCTTGAACCCACAACCTTCTGATTTGAAGGTGAGAGTGCTACCAATTGAGCCAGGTTGTTACCGAGAAGGGTGCAACCTCATGTGGCGTATGAACACAAGGGCAGACCAGTTGGGCTGGATGTCTCTTTCTGTACTGTAACATTCTAGGTAATTTTATGCAGTTTGGTAGTCTAACATTTCTCTTTGTTTATTACTGTCTCCATGTGCATATTAATGGTGCCAAAGTAAGAAAGAAGTCAGAAGTAGAAAGATTAGTTATTTTGTTTAAAGGTCTGTAGATGTGACAAAGTGCTTGCTGTCTTCAGCTGCCAGGTGAAGACAATAACGCTTTGTTAAAGTGTATAGATTACCTAATGTAGCTGTGTTTTCTTCAGTCCTATTATCAGTGGTAAAATGAGCCACAAAGGAGAAGGGAAGCCTCTCGGTACGAAGTACCCAATCTGCGTTATTTAAAAAAAAGAAGGTATCTCTTACCCGTAGGAGATATCTTAGTATTAATTATTCATTTTGTTCCATGGAAGCCTGTCATCTCAGGTCTTTACTCACACTTGAGTGTTCTCCTGATGCGTGTTACAGTGACATATGTGCTGAAACAACTCAATTAATTTTAACACAGGTGAACACATTTGAAATGAACTTGAGGCAAGAACCAAGCCATAAAATGAAGTTTGTAAATAGAATTCAGTAACATGAGTTCTTGCCTGTAACACATTTCTCAGTTAGCCCTCAGTTTGCCCTACTGAGAAGTAAATCTTTATCCAGGACTTGGTCACTAGGATTCTTATTCATTATATCATATGAATTTTCTGAATAATCCTTGGTATGAGAAGCAATGATAGCAAGGTGCATTAAAAACCTGTCTACCCAGGAGACTGAGAAACCTATCTTTGTCCTGAACCATGTTTCTGGATAATGCCTCAGAGTACATAACAGTGATGATATTGTACGTTGAACAAGGAAGAAGGGAAAAGTGAAAAGTGACCATAGGCACAATCGAAAAGATGGGAATTTATAAGACAAAAAGGGGCAAAATAAAAGGGTAGAGGAACGGAAATACCAGCGATTGGGGGTGTAGACTCTGAAGGCTCAGCCACCAATGGTGGAGTGGAGGGGATGGGAGATGCGTAGCAGACCCAAGTTTGCCGAGCAAAGGAGTAAGCAGAAGAGTGAGGAAGGAGAAGATTACAGAGGTATTGAAATGCTAGATGATGAGGGGATTTAGGGTCAAAACCTTGAAATTGATCCATTGGAGCCAGAAAGCCAGTGAAGCCTGGCAAGAACTGGGATGATGGCACAAAGTGTTTGGTGTGGGTGAGGATACAAATGGCAGAGGTTTATATGAGCTGGAGCGTGTGGATGGCAGAACTGGGGAAAGACTGAATCGGGAGTTAACAAAGGCGTGAATGAGGTTTCGGTTGCGTTTTGTGTGAGATAGAAGCGAGGGTGGGCAATGTTGTGAAAGGTGCCCAAATTCTGGGGTATGAAATTAGACCCATTTCAGCAATGTTGCTGTCCTAACTAATTCACCATATGTACCCCTTGAAAATAGACATATTGAATCTCAAGCTGATTTATGAGATTTGAAATTGGGCTAAATACGAAATATTGAGCCAATATTCAATAGAGATTAACATTTCAGGGAAATATCTCTCATCAGACAGCAAACAGTGTTTGAAATTGCAAATACCAAATCACGTTTGTTTCTCAAGAATGCCATTTAGGTATTGACTAGCTGACCTCAACCTCCTAGTACAAAAGAGTTTCTAAGAGGCTGATGTGTCAGATGGTTTTGATGTAATTGCTTCATAAAAAGCATTTAACCTGAAACTTTGCAGTAAATCATTTCCAGGACACATATATAACACTGAGCCTGAATCCTGTATTATGCAGGAGAGACAAAGCTTTTAAGCTACTTGTATCTGAAGAAGCTCAATCATAGGATTATACAGTATCCAGAACTGCTTAGAAGTGGGTATCAATGTTAGGAAGATGTGTATTGGCTCTAGTTGAAACAACAACAACAATTTGTATTTGTATAGTATCCTTCATGTAAGATAACATCTAGAGGGTTTAACAATGATGGGATCAGACACTGAGCAGAGGAGGAGGGGGGGCTTAGGGGGGGTGACCATAGGCCCAGTAAAAGAGATCAAGGCACACCTCCAACTAGTGAAACCTTTGCTCAACTAATGACTAACCTCCTTGCGAGGAAGTAAGCAGGGTCTCTTTAGAGCTGAACTGACTCCAAGGTGACATGTTTGACAATGGAATGTCAGAATCGAGCCCTCTGTGGTGGTCTCGGGGTCTGATTCCTGAGCCTGGTGGGTCCACAGTATTCCAGGGCACTGCTGTTGACAACCAAGCCAGCCTGGCTCATCACCAGAAT